TGTGCCTTCTTCACCTTTTGGAGCACCCGGGCCAAGCGCCGAGGCCTTGGCCGCGGGCGCTTTGGGGCCAGGGGCGCCTCTGGCCCGGGCCATGGAGCCCGGCGCCGGGGGCGCGAGGAGCGCGACGACCGGTTCATGTAGTCAGACCCCCCACCCCCCATCCCCCACCTCCCCCACCGCCACCAGACACCACCATCGCTGTGTACCGTGGAGTTTTATTAGTATTTGTGCGTGTGTGTGGACACATTTTCCTTTTCGGTTGCTCTGTACATTGGTTCGTGCTCGCCTCGCTTTTTCCACACTCTGCTCTCTGGCTTGCTCTGTCTCTCTCTTCTTTTCGAAAATTTTCCTAAGTCCGGGCGCACACTCCCTCCCTCCCCTTCCGCCCACCCCGGCCCCTCGGCGGCGCCCGCGGGAGGAGGGGGAGCGAGGCTTCGGGGACCGCTGGGCTACGCGGCCCGGGGGGTGGAGCGTTGGCGTCGTGCGAGGGGTCGTCACTGGCGCGGAGACGCCCCCTTTCCCCCCTCGGCCCGGCCCGACTTGGGCCTGAGCCCGGGGGGCTGGGGGGCGTCTCCTAGCCCGTCCCGTCCCAGGCCGGGAGCGGGCGGAGGGACCCCCCTTCCCGGGCACCCGGGGGGGACGCCTCCCTCCGCCGGCTCCCGCCCTCCCCGCCGCCGCCGCCGCTGCGGCGGCTGCTCCTCATCCCTCCTCCTCCTCCTCCTTCCACCCCCCTCGCCGCCGCCGCCTCCTCCTCCTCCCCCCGCCTCCCCCCGCCCGCCGCGGCGCTTTTTGGGTCGGGGCGGCGACGGGGGCCCGGGCCGAGGCAATAAGAGCGGCAGCGGCGGCGGCGGCGGCAGCAGCTCCCGCAGCTCCTGCTCTGGTCCGCCTCGGCCCGGCGGCCATCGGTCCCCTCGGCTTCGGCTCGAGGGGCGGGGAGCTGCGCGCGCCCCTCGGTCCGACCGACACCACCCTCCCCTTCGCGCCCGTCCCAGCGGCCCGCGACTCGCGGCCCGCAGTCCGCCCCGCGCGCTCCTCTCCGAGGAGCCGAGCCCGCGCCCGGCCCGCCCGCCCGGCGCTGCCCCGGCCCGCTTGAGGCCGCCCGCGCCCGCCGCAGCCGCAGCCCGGCCGCGCCCCGCCGCCGCCATGGGCTGTCTCGGAAACAGTAAGACCGAGGACCAGCGCAACGAGGAGAAGGCTCAGCGCGAGGCCAACAAAAAGATCGAGAAACAGCTGCAGAAGGACAAGCAGGTCTACCGGGCCACGCACCGCCTGCTGCTGCTGGGTAAGGGCGGGGCGGGGGGCGCCGGCCCTGGCCCGGCCCGCGGGCCCCGAGGGGCGCCCTGCAGGCCGCGCGCGCCGAGCCCACCCCCTGCCTCGGGCGCGCGCTCCCGAGCCCGCTGCCCGGCCGCGGGCTCTGTCTGCGGGGGGCGAGGCCGGAAGGGGGACCCCAGGGCGCGAATTTGGCCGGTGGGGGCTCGACACGGGGCGGGGGGCCGTGGCGACGCGGGCGTGGGTCCCCCTTCCCGGCCCGCCCGCTCTCGTGTGTGTCTCGCTCGCTCGCTCTCCTCGCTCCTTTCTCTCTCTCTTTCCTCGAGGCCTACACGACGCCAGGGGTTCGTGTGCGTGTTGGGGAGGGGGAGGGGAGGCCCACGGGGCTCCCGAGACTGCGACAAAAAGAGGGTTTCGGGGACAGGAAATGGGGTGGCGGGCAGAGGGCGGGGGACCCGCCTCCTTAGGGTGTATGATTTATTGGGAGAGGGAACGGGGGAAGAGAGGGGCGAGAAGAGGAGGGGGTGGCGCTGGGGGGCGCCGTGGTGGCGGAGGGGGCCTCGCCAGAGGGAGGCTTTGGCTGGGGAAGTGGCCGAGGAGAGTGGGGGGGCGGGTGACATCAGCCCCTCGGAAAGGCTCGGAGCCGTAAAGGTGGTGCAGTGGGGGGAGGGGGCGCGAGCGAGTCGTGGCGCCTGAGTGGGGGGAGGGCGGCAGCCGCTGGGCGCGACTTGGTGCGTCTCGGGCAGGACAGCCTGTGTGCGCGGAGCAGACGTGTCCCGGCCGGGCCGGGCCGTGGAAGAAAGGAGAATCGAATAAAATACAGACCCCCCCCACCCACCCACCAAAAATGCATGGAGTTAGTACGAAAAGTGCCCAGTGAAGCCAAATGACACGTCATTTTACAGTGTGACCTTTTTTTCCCCTTCCAGACTTGCAGGCTTTTGAAAAGCAAAGAAGAGAATTAATTGTAGCAGCTGCCCCCCAGCAGCGGCCCCCACCTCATTTTAATAAACCATTAAAAAACACACATTTTCCTTCTGGTTGGCCACATTGCGAGCGCTTTTTGAAAAACGAAAAAACAAAGACATTCACAAATCATTATAAAACTGGAAAATGACATTTGTCTGTAAATGGCTTCTTGGTCTGGAAATGGCGTTTTTTTTGTTTTTTTTTTTTGTCCTTTTCAAGGTGGGCGGGGGGAGTGAGCACTCTAAGGAGAAGACTTTTATTCCAGGTGGGAGGAGATGAAAAGACATTAATTAGTTGTTTGTCAAGTGACGTTTGGTTGTTTGGTTTTGGGTTTTTCTTCTTTTTTGATTGCGATTTTTCCTCTTTCACCAGAAAAAAAAAAAAAAGAAAAGAAAAATGTTCAAGGAGATGGCTTTCCTCCTTTTTTTGTTTAAGTTGCTGCTCTGGGAAAAAATAAAAGTAGCATAAAAAATCGTTGAAATGACCAAAGTTACACACAAGCATTAATTAGAATGGAAGTTTTCCACTTCCTTGGTGATTTGGCTATCTGAATAAATTTGTCAGTTCGCTAGGTTAAGTAAGACCTCGTTCATGGTCACATTTCAACAAAACAGCTTGATTATGAGGAATAAAATGTAAAAGTCTGGTTTTTTTCTTTGGTGGTGTTTGGTTTGCTCTTTTTGGATGGGTCACGTCTTTGTTCTCCTGGGTCCAGATTTGTAAAAGCAGAAAATAATTAAGTGAAAATCAGTGTCTTTGGTGTTCATGCATTTGCAAATTCAGTTATTAAATGGTACATACATTGAAGTCTCGTCTGAAACTTTTAAAGTCAGAATTATGTGAATATTAATATGCATGGGACTTGATTTCAAAGTCTAAATCTGGAAAAGTCTAGAATATTTCCTATGAATACTATATCTTACTATCTGAATACTAATTTAAGTCAAGTGTGGTGCTAATGGTACCTTAAATTTCTAACACCTTTTGTGCGGTAATTACAAAGTCTCCACTTAATTTGAGACTGTTACTCTGAACACACCTTGCATCACTGTGCCCTAGTCTATATGGCTGCGTTTTTATCATGATTTATTGATAGCCTCGGGCAAAAAATCTGTAGCCCAGGCCAGTGACACAACATTTTGCTTTTTTAAAATGGTGATTCTCACCAAATAATGCCTCCCCCCAAAAAAGGAAACATAATAATGCCCTAAATCCTCTTTTTACTCCATCTTAATTTAATGGCATAAAAATTAAGTGAATTAGAGAACCCTAAAAGATCATACAATAATTTTTCAGCCACATTTCACAAATGTGGAAACTGAGGCACAGATCTGTTTGTGCCTGTAAAAGATAGTGTTGCGCATTTTAACACTTCTAAAATTAGAGTATTGGAGATCCAAATTAATATTACGTATTCTCTTCATAGAATCTCTTAATAGAGCCTTTTATATTTTAATTTAGGCTCATTAAGATAGAATGTTTGCTTTGAAATCAATGTTTCTGTGGAAACTAATTTTAACTTTTACAGATATTGATTACAGCCTTGAGAAAAGACAAGCAAGGGAGGAATGCTTTGCTATCTGGTCATTAAAACAGTTAATACAATTAAAAGTAAAAAGAAAAAAAGGGGGGGGGAACCAAACAGATTTGTGTGGGAGGACACACAAGGATTATTTGTTGGAGAGAGTACATTGCAAAAACCAAAATGCAAAATAGCAATCCTCCCTCTAGCTTGATGGAAATATTTGTTTTTCCCATAAATATGTACATATAATTTTTTTTAACAAATGAAAGGTGATTTAAAATGGAGGCGTGTGTTTCTTCATACTTTTCTAGTTGGGAAGGACTTGGGATCTCTCAAATTCAGTGGATCCCAGGAATATTTTTCCTTAAAATTTAAGTCTTGACCTTGTATTACTCCTTACTGTTGTTGCAGGTTACTAATGTTAACGCTAATACGGTCTCAAGCACTGTATTAGTTATTAAAATGTGGTTTTTCCAGAAGATGACAGATAATTGATGGTCTTCCATTTTCCTCTGCAACATGGCTGTTGTATCCAGAGGGAATTTAACTTTAGAGAGATACAGTTTGGGAGGAAAGGGGGGTGGGCAAGTAGATAAAATATAATATTGTGGTTTATGGGGTGGATTTTTAAGTAGCCCAGGGGTGGGAAACCTGCACAGAAAGAAACTGCACTTTGAAAATGTTTAGGAGGGAAGTGCTGCATCCGCATGTGATGTGGGAGAAACTGCAGTGTCTGGGCATTGTTTGTGAATCCTGGGTATTTTCACCACGAAACATCTGACGAGTTATGTGCTATACACACTCCTGTGTACACGTTGCCAGTGACTGCTCACTTACCAAAAATTCAGTTTCATAGTTTTAACTTCAATTTTCTTGTTTCCCCCTCAGATGACAAAATTGCGTCATTCCTTCTCTTTGCCCCTTTCCTTTGCCACCCCACAGTTTTTCAAACACCCAAAAGAAACAAAACAAAACACTTAAAAACAGCAAAACTTTTAACTCTTGCTTGTTAATCTGATGGTGAAATACTGCAGGTAGACACGGAGTTGGATATTCATTTTCTCTGCGTCGAAATGTCAAGGAAAATTGCAAGTCTGTTGTGTTGTGTTTGTTTTTTGTGTGTTGCTTCTATGGAAAAAAACAAAACAAACAAACAAAAAAAAAACAGCCGTCCTTTCCTTGCCCAAAGTGTGTAAAAAGCCTGCTTCATAACCTGAGACTTACTTTCATTTTCTAGGTGCTGGAGAATCTGGTAAAAGCACGATTGTGAAGCAAATGAGGATCCTGCATGTTAATGGGTTTAACGGAGAGTAAGTGTCAAATCTGGAAAAGGGCGCTGAGTAGGGCCGCAACCTTTATGCTAACCTTTAGGGAGTGTAGGTAGGTTTTGAGGGCTGCGCAGCCAATTTTCACTTAATTTTTTCCTAATTTACATATTAGAAAACTCTGGGAAGACGTCATTGGGGCTCCCCCCTGAATCTTAGGTGCAGCAAATAATAACGATATTAATAAAGCACCAGTGTTTGTGTAAAACATCTCCCTATCCCAGGAAAATAGTGCCTGGTTGCAGAGGACACTTAAGAGCACTTGGCCCTGTGACAGCCTCACTGAGGCTAGGTCCTCTGCCGCAGCCTCGCAGATTTTGGTGCAGTGAGTCTTCAACATGGCTCTCAGGGCCGTGGCCACCCCCTCGCCTGGCCCATGCTGACCACTGCAGAGATCCCCCCACCCCCAGCAGATTTCAATGTAATGAACCGATGCAGGATGTTTTAAACTATTAGGGAAACATTGTTTCAGTGATATTCTCGTATTAAATAAAGTTGGAAGTGGCAACCCTTGTTTACAATTCTTTTTTTTTTTGCCCCCTTTTGAATCATGATTATGGGCAAATTGTTTCCATTTTTTAAAAAAATCAATACCCTTGCCTAAAGAAATGATGGAAAAACTGGGGATTAGGTACTTCCGGCCGTATCCAGGGGCAATTTTGCCTTTGAAAAGTCCTTCCAAGCATCCTGGTATAGGACAACGTGGCAATACTGCAGTGGGAGAATAAAGATTTAAAAAAGAGAGAGAAACAGCTTAGGTTTGAGGTGTGGGACATGGAGTCCTGCTTGCCATGAAGAATGCAAACGAGCATTCAATAAATCAGGGAATTCACTTTTGTCCCCAGACCCAAGATTGGGCCTGTTGTAACAAAATGTGTGAAACAGAAAAAACTAAGTTTACTAGCCTCTGTTATCACCGGTGTGAAAGTGGTTAATCTCACTAGATTTACAAGCAGCTGGAGGCGCTAGGTTGCAATTACTAGCTGGTTAGCAATCTCACTCCCTTTCATAAACCTGGATCCAGTTGGAAATTTATCCCTCAGTTGCGCATGGTTTAATTCAATTATAAACCCCAAAACAAACAAGCTGCTTGCTGTCGCTAACTATGCACTAACCACTAGGGAAACAAAGGTAAATTTTATCACCTTTCAGGGCATGGAAGGCAGCTCTTTATGGAAAATTCTAGAATTTGTTAGATGAGGTAATCGGGGTTTAGAAAAGGATGACATCACCAGGACAAATGGTCAATTTAGTTTAGGATGCTTTTTATAGTTTAACCATGAACCCAGAAAGATTGGTTGTTACACAGAAAAACGGGATGGTTTACCAGTTTTATTTACGGTGACTCTCAATGAGTTAATCGGTATGCACATAGATGCTGTTAAGTCAGTCGCCTTCACCTGTCACAAACCAATTCTGACATTCTTAATTCCTGACACATCCCTCAATAAAGCCTTGCCAATGGAGATTGCCATCCTGCAAATAAATTTTAAAAAACCTGAAACAGACTTCTAGCCATGAATTTGTAATTTGAAGAAAAATCTTGCATGAATTTTCCCCTTGCAACTTATAAGGAGGAGTACTTCTTCATGACACTAACTAGTTAAGCAAAAATAATTTGACCGTGTACCCTCTAGATAAATATTTTGATTAAAACTGGACATGGCTAGCATTTTTAAAAAGTAGCAGCCACTGTTTACCTTAATTTGAGTTGGATGGAAGATAAATCTCCTTGAAATAAAGTTTTATTACTCTATAGATTGCCCTAACATTTTAAAATCTTTACAGAAAGGACTCTCCTCCCTACACGAGCCAGTCTAGTACAGACAAGGCATTTAAACCAGAACTTTATTTTCTTTTTGGAAAGAGGAAGTGACATTCCCAGTTTGCTTTCTTTGTAGAGGAGGCCATAGGTATGTTAAATTTAGCCTGTAAAAGGGACATACAGGGGTGTTCCTCATGGAAGCCTAGATACCTTATTTTTATCTCATCCAACTGAGGCCCCTTTTTTCTTTTTCCTCACTGCAGTATTGCAACAAAAGCCATTTCCTTCCTAACTAGGAATTCCCTGTGAGATAGTGACATCTGTTCCTAAAGGGTCTGCATGGGGTGGGGTTTCTCCTCCTGATCCTGTACTTTGGTTAGGGTTAGGGTGAGCTATTAAGTTTGCCTTAACTGTCCGCAGCCTTCCATGCTGATTACATTTTTAAGAGTAAGGTAATATTGATTTGACCTTGAGAAATTTAGATGTTGAATGTGGATTTTCATAACTTGAAGCTAACTCTTTTCCTTACATTTAGTGCCAGAGGAGAAAACAAACACCATTCACATAGGTTGAGCTAAGCTAATCAATTACAAAATCATGTAGCAGGTTTAACTATTCTGCCCTTCCACCTTCAAGGAGAAATTCCTACTATTTACGAAGATTGGATTTGGGGTTTTTTGTTTTGGGGGGGGGTTGGGGTGGTATTAGGTGGGTTTTCTTTTAATTTTTTTGCTGCATCACGATCCAGACATAGATTTAATTGATGACAATTTATAGAGAACAATTATTTATAAATAAAAATATAATTTCCCCTACTGCAAGAAGGGAGGTCACTAATTTCGTACCAGGAAATCATGGGCAAAATCCCCTATGCCTTCGCGTGTTCATATGCAACGTTGCGAAGACTCTGACCTGGGAGCCTTATGTGCTGCCATATTCTCAAAAGAATAGTGAGATAAATCACTGCTTTGTCTCCCTAATGCATGTACATTTAGTGAAAGCACAAGAAAATAATTATCTGTCCCTCCTGGATCGGACCAGAGTCTCCAGAGGGCTGTGTTAACACTGCAGCAAAGGTGTGTGACTCTCCCCCTGCGGCCTGCAGTCTCCATAGACATTCCAATTTAGCCAGAAAGGCCACCTAAGAATTAACGACCTAAGAATGAACGGGAGGATTGCGCGCGGATTGTTGCATTTGCTTTTGGCTGATTGTTTAGGGACGTAGAGAGGCTGTGTGGGGTGTGTATGAAATTGCAGTGCCTTGCAGATTAGGTGAGCTTTCAATCTCTCTTTAAAAGGGGCGGCGAAGAGGACGCACAGGCTGCAAGGAGCAACAGCGAAGGGTAGGCACATTCAAAAACAGAAAAATTTTTTAACAAAACAAACATGAAGATCATACTGGGAAACTGAGGACAGAGACCCGGGAAGAAAATGAAAGTCATTTGGGGGGGGGCCATCAGCCATATTGTTATACATCTGCAAATAACATGTAAACAATCTCTTAACATTTCAGAGCAAGTGAAGTGCAAAACAGTTTTTGGCCGTGCTTGAAGTATAATTAGCTCCAGCTGGGGGAACGTTATAGATTTCGGCTTTAGATGATCAGTTTAGGATTTTGAGAATTGATGTTTTTCCATATGGTTTCTATTTTCCCCCAGTTCTCTATTTGAACCAGCTACTTGTTTTTAAAACTATCTACTAAATTCCCAGTGGTTGGTCTGATTTTAAAATTTCAGACCTCTTGGGAAAAAAAATATATATATATATTTATTAAATTATTAAAATACGTAATGCCACGCTACCCTTCATTTTGAAAAATGCCTTGGCACCTTGTGGCAGGTCATTGTTAAGAATCATCTCGAAAAGCCTCTGGCCTTTTGAAAATGATCAAATTTATTTTAATCCAAAGCACTTCACATTAGCTAGTGGATAAGGAAATTCACAACAGCATCCATTTTTTTTCCATTCATTATCAAATTATTTATTTTGCTTCCTGCATCCCACATCCATCACATACAAACATACACATGTGCATGCCAGGTAACCATGCTAGCTCTGCTTGCATATTCTGCATGAAGTGATTGGAGCAGCCATTTTTCATGAGAACATGCAGAGCCATTGACTTAGCCTAGGGCCTCTCAGAGAAACAGCTTCTGTGGCCGGGGAGGGGAGGGGCAAAGGATATTGGGTCGGGGACAAAGTAACTGACACATGTTTGTTCATCTGTTTCTTTTAGAATATATTATCCCTAGATGATGGCTACAGTTTCTCCTCTTCCCGCCTTGTCCTATCACAATTTGCATGCTGGAATTGCCCGGTCTTAGGAACTTCTAATAAGAATACTATTCTGTTGCCTGGGGGGAGGGGGGATGGGGCCCCTACTACCTGACCTTGAAAGAGATTGGAAAAACAGCAAAAATGGAATGACATCCTTAATTGGCAAAAATGTAGTAGAACAGTTTAAAAAAAAATGGCTAATTGACAAGCTACTGTACCAAAAGTTGGCATTTGAGAGAGATGACAAGTCCTTATTCAGCATCCTACTGTGTACTAGATGTTGTGCTAAACCCTCGAACCCTACTAATACCTTGCCTGCACGTCTCTGTGATCTGTTCTAAAGTAAATATAAGTATTAACATTCCTGATAAATAAAAACTCTCTGCATGTTTCAGCAATCCCTGTATCTTGAGTCTGTCTTCTGTCTTCCTTCTTTTGTCTGTCTTTTCCCACAAAAGCACAAAGATAAGGTATAGACGTGAATGAAACTTAGTACATCGTAGCCTTCCCCTCCCACTTAGTTAGCTAAAGGGGTGGGGTGGGGGGGCTCTTAAAATTCTAACCCAGCTAATCTGCTTTATACATGGGAGTGGGGGAGGGGGACCAGCAATATCCTAAAAGTACTTCCAGGCCCTATTTTTTAGTCAATCAGAATTCTAGCAGTTGGCATATATTTTGCCTTTGTCAAGTAGTTTAGAGACATCTAAGGAATTTTCTCTGAATTTCACAATCAACGTTAAATTCATTAAGTGATAGTAAAAATGATGATAAACCTGCCAACCCCCAGTATAATATCTCCATCTACATAGTAATTGCTTCAATGGAAGAATTTTATGTTTTAGTATTACACACCCGAATTAGATTTTGGATTTCTATTTTAGCTGTTTTATACTTGATATACTCCCACACCTATTCACATACGTAGATGAATACTGAACACGTTCTCAAAATATCTGTATTTTAAGACTGGAAGTTTTCCAATTATACTACTACTACTTAGACCAAAATATCAAACTGAATGAGAGAAACGTTTCTGGAAATAATTTTCTCTTGCTGTATGCAGATCTGGGTATTTAGTACCCAAACATATCTAATTTTGCTATTGTGGAACCTTAAAACCAAAGGTTAATGGCTTTCATTACCAATGAAATGGAGCCTGTTTTTAATGAATGGGAATGGATTTGTCCTAGGGGGGTTTTAGGTAAATTCTGAATCCAAGAGGGAACATTAGGGACAATCAAACACACGTCCTTTCAATCTCTGACATCTAAACAATTGATCTGAAATTATAATACCAAGGGAAGCTCTTAATTTCAGAATCGAGCTTCAATTCTGCGTGTGCAAAGCAGAACAGTCCCACAGGGTGCTCAGGAGACTCATCCCCTTGCAAGAATAGATGGTGCTTCAAGAGTCTAGGGGCCCAAGGCAGATTTCAGTTTTGTGCACAAATTCCACACTTGGGGTCTGCAGCTTACTTCTCCCCATCTCTGCCCCGAGGTTCTCTGGACTTGTAGCACTTAAATGGCCCTTGAGAGGATTTCTGGTGACATCTGCCCCTCCCCCAACATCCCCCACCGCCAATGAGCGTTCCCGGGTAAACTCTGTGGGCCCCTTACTCCAATGAGATCAGTGTCACAAAAGGCCTGTTTCAGAGAAAGGCCCGATCCTATGAAAAGAGTGGGATGAGATCATTCAGAAAATGAGGGCCCACCCCTCAAATACACAAATATTTATTCAGAAAGAATAAAATGCTCAGGAAATACTAGCTATTACAATTCTTTGAAAAAGGAAAGACCAAGTTCTTTGGGGGTGGGAGTGGGGGGAGGGCCTGTTGACAAGCATGTGCTTGACACCCCCTTCTGCCCCCACGGCGTCACTAACTGCCCTTCCAGGCTGCAGTCGCTATTAACCCCCCTCTGCATTTCCTCTGCTTTCTGTTGTGTTCCACTCCAGAGGGATTATTTAATTTCTCCCTCCATTCTATGACTTGGCAAATTAGCCAAGTGAATGCTTTGAAAATTAGGAATCGCAGAAGATTTTAAAAAAAACAAACCACAATGAAAAAGATAAACTCTGTCCCTTCTTCCTCCCCCCACCCTGCACCCCGCCCCAGTTTCTGCCTCTGTGATGCAAGACTTTTCCCTCTCTCCGCCTCAGTCTCCCCACCAGTGGGGCAGGACTGCAGCACCTTCCTTCTGCATGAGGATGCGTCCCGTTCTGGGCCTGACACATCGTAGGCATGCTGTGCACGTTTCTATTCCCCCCACTCAAGCAAGAGGGCAAGGGTTTGGGTTGTGGGTGTGGCAAGATATACACTCCAAGCAAAAGGCCCAACAATCTTCCCCGGCTGCGCCTCTAATGAAGGCTAATTTCTGAAAGACATGCAACATCGGATCAGTGTAATCTGGGGCAAAAATTAACATTCTGTCAGGGGTGCCCAGAAGCCAAAGGGCATGGCCTTTACCCATGGGACCAGCAACTCTGAATATAGCTCACTGCCTGAAGACCACACAGGCTAGCTATCCTACATAGTTAGAGGAACAAAACCTCTAACCTCTACTTAACAGAGGGACCTGACCCCACCCACCATCATAAGCACTTCTGGGGGTGGAATCTTAATTTCATTCCTATTTACATCGAGGGACCAATGTCTATTAACATCCTAAACTAGGAATGTTGTTCACTGCTGCTAGTTGCAGTGCCCAGAACAGCATACACATAACGACTATTTAAATAAACAAACAAACAAATAATAGGGCCACAAAGCCTTGAAATCTATAATTAACTATTGTTACCACCACCACCTGCATTCACTGGTTCTCAGTATGCTAATTTAGCAACTGAGTGAATTCCAAGTCACACCATAGGACTGTTTTTCTCCCCACCCCCAATAGGGTGCCAGTAAGGGTCAATGGAAACCTTTTAGGAAGTGTTCGTGTGTAGCGTGAGGGGGCTTCAAACCATGGGCCCACATCTGAGATAGTAAATGGACTTCGTTGCAACTTCTGGTACAGTAGCCTCAATTGTGATCACAATGCCAGTCTGCTAATCTACCCCACTGGGTGTGTCCTCAAGACACATTCAGGAGGTTATGATTTGAAACCACCTTTATTCAGGTACCCTCCAATCTCTGCACAGATCTGAACCCACAACTCCTTGAAGAACAGAATACTATGCTTTTTAGTTGGAATGTCTTGATTAAAGCAACACTCAGGATGCAATATGATTTTTTTTTTCTTTTCAATCCCACTGCAGCGATAAGGCCACCAAAGTGCAGGACATCAAAAACAACCTGAAGGAGGCCATTGAAGTATGTGCTAGCTTCTTGCCCTTTCTGTCCTTTAGCCTCTCTCTCAGACAGTGCTGTCCCCTGACCGCTTTGCTAAATCACTTTCAGACCATTGTGGCCGCCATGAGCAACCTGGTGCCGCCTGTGGAGCTGGCCAACCCTGAGAACCAGTTCAGAGTGGACTACATTCTGAGTGTGATGAACGTGCCTGACTTTGACTTCCCTCCTGTAAGCCGCACCCCTGACTCGTGGCCTTAGCCCCGCCCACCTGAGCAGTGATCACACAGGGACATCAGTGGTAGCCCACACCCCGGCAGGTGTCCAGACCACAGCTTGGGCCAAACACATTTCAGTGACATTGACCCTTAGGAAAAAGTTAATCTCAGGTGTACCCTTAATGTTTAAAAAAAAAAAAAACAACTAATGATCGTTAGGGCTTTGTTCAAGATGGATAAGGAAAATTCTGTCACCCCTTGTAAATCTTGGCTTGCCCATCCTCACAAATAAACAGCGCCCTCTAATACTACAATTCTTACTTTATTAGATTATAAATTTTTTATGAGGGAAAATGTCCTGAGCTGTGGCAGGCTTAATTATTCCCTCGTCCACATCTTAGGACAAACAAAACTGCATGTTAAATACGGCACACAGCTACTAATCGTCCAGTCATTCCACTGAGAGCACCCAAGGGTACCTTGAGACTCTCACTTTAAATTAAATTTATGAACATTAATTCATTAAATGGGCTCAAAATTCAGATTCACACCAAGTGTAGGTGAATAGTAAACTAGGGTCCTAGAGTTCGAATGACAGTGTTCTTGATTTGTTGGAGCTCCGATCTTTCAACGTGTTCTCTTGTGTTGTCTTCAGGAATTCTACGAGCACGCCAAGGTCCTGTGGCAGGATGAAGGAGTGCGCGCCTGCTATGAGCGCTCCAACGAGTACCAGCTGATCGACTGTGCCCAGTAGTAAGTACCCTTTCAGCACGTAAAGCAGGCAACACGGAGAAAACAAAAAAACCTGCCACTCTTGCTTTTAAAGTCACTTGCCGGTGATTCCTTTCACAGAAGCCAACCAGTTATCCTGTTTGCAGTTAGGAACTTCTAGTCTTATTCATTTGTTTTATTGGGGAAAAAAACCCTTAATTGCATTTTTTTAGTGCAGTGACAGTATTTCATATAAACACTTAATAGCTATTAGAGCAAAATGATAATTACTTTCAGTAAAGTGATGCTTATACTTAGATTGATGTAATTAATTGAATTGACCTCCAGACATTTAGGGAAACAGGGCAGCTCTCACACTTGGGATAAGGTAAAAATATTACATTTTACTGCAGTAATTTAAAAACATGACAAACAGGAACGGGGAAGACAAAATATGCCTCCCCCCTCTTTGGTAGTTGTTAATTGCTTTGCTATTGATTTCTGCTTTCGGGTGACCATAGTAGCTGCCATAGTCCAATATTATTAGATTAGTGAATCTAGATGAAGTTGGGTTTTGTGTTTCTTGACTTTTGAACTCTATTTCATATTATTTATTCCTTCACACCGGGTCTTGATTCAAGGATGGTAAGTGGTCTGTGGATTTTAAATCCTAAACTGTACACCTAAGCAACACAGCACAGTGGTGGGGTTATTTCTAAATAAAACAGATTACCCGAGAGGATAACAGGTTAAGGCTAGCAATAGCGATGTGAAAGACATCTTTCCCCAAAGTCCTTTGTAAAGGTAGGCTCAGCTGATCAGTGTGTTGGTAAAGAGAGGAAGAGAAAAAAATTTTTTAAACAGATTTCATCGCACGCCACCACTTGATGCCGAAGCTAGTACACCAGTCACGTAATACCTGCCTTACCTTTCCCCGGGGGGTCCTCCCTCCATCTGCATCACCCTTCACGGTCTCGCTTCCAGAGGACATAGGTTGCCTTTTAAATAGTTTATGACCTCCCTCCACCTGCACACGATATAGCAGGCATATGGTGGTCAGGGTTATAAAAAAATTTAAAGATACTTTTGTTTGCTGCTGCCGCACAAACTCACAAAGCAATCTCAGTGAGTGATACTCTGCAGTGGGGGTGTCTTTTGTGACTGGGCGAGGGGTAGGCAGTAGAGGTTTGGTGTTTTAGCTTTTCTTATTATAAGTAGCTGAAACTCAGAACCAATTTTGCTATAGAAAGTAATAACTAATCAGAACCAAGGTACTAGGCTGGCTCACAAACAGCTAAAATTACATTACTTAGTAGCCCCACGCCTGAGGAACTGATTGCAAAAACCAGTTTAAAAAGGAGGAGGGAGGAAGAGGTAATAGCAGTCAAACAACAAACAAAAAGCAAGCTCTTTAAAATACTGTTTTCTACAGATCACCCAGCTTGGGCCAGGGTGTGTGAAATCTGTCAGTGTATCTTCCCCTGGCACTGCTTTCCCATAGGAAGTTCATTTGATTACTTTCAGTTGTCACATACATAGATATTTCATGGTTTAATATACAAGCAAACTTGTATATTTTTTCAAGGAACAGAAAAACAGTCCATCTTGGCCAGTCCCTGTGACCCCAACCCCCACTCCTTCAACAAAGTCCCTGATTTTCTCAAAAGTTTGATCTAAAAGCTGGAAGCGCTAATTATAGTAATGCAAAACAAATGGAAATCCTGGAATTGTTTGCGTTTTGTATTTTGGATCCAAGTCAGAAGTTAAGTACAGGTACAAGATTAGGAGGGTTTAACCATCCCAGTTTTAAATGCTGGGGGTGGAATAACAAATTCATTAATTAACAGTAGTTCAGCCAGGTTTTGGGGGGCAAAGGTCATATTATTTAAAAGTTGTTGTTTTGTTTTTTATTAAGCAACATTCGATTACTCCTGAAAGTAAAAGCTAAAAACTGCACCAATTGCACAGATTATGAAAAGTTTTAAGGAAACTCAGAGAAAAAGAGAACAATGTAGCTTAAAACTTTTAAAATGTCTTCCCTAATGGGATGGTTCAAACAGCCCTGCATTTGCAATGACCAGTGTTTCTGGTTCAACTGCCTTTATGTTGAAGTTGAGATTCTGGTACCGTGCCCATTTCTTAAGCTGCCTATTTTTATTTGTTGAGCTGGGGTTTGGCTGGCCCCACTCCAGATGTCTCTCTCACAAGATTTGGTGCTGATGAGCTATTTATAGAACTGTGGTTCTGTTGCCATGGCAACATGCTGGAGGCCAGGGTGGCTGGGGAGCTATTTCTGGCCTGGTGCTGTAATGTAAGATTGATTGGGCAAGTTAGTATATCCTCTAAGCCAGACTAACTCTGAACTGGTAAAAAGGAAGGGGAAAAAAAACTTACGGAATTTCTTTAAATAGACTTTTTTCCCTTTGTGATTTTTCTTCTTTGATTAGCCCACTTTAAAACAATTCCAAACTCTACCCCCCCCCCAAAAAATGGTTTTAACATTAATTTTCCATATTAATTAAATTACCCCACTCTTTCAAAAGTTAATGTTCCTGTGTGTCTAGTCAAGCAACACAAGCAAGATACTTTTTTAAAATAAAAGTTTAATATCTGGAGTGTTCTCTTTCATGGACCAAATAGAACGGAAGGGAATTCTGTTTGTTTCCTGCTCAGGGTGGTTAGGGCAAGAAGGGCCTCTTGGTGCCAGCCTCTTTTGTTCTCTTTAATCAATGAGATTCTTAAAAAGTAAAAAGGAAGGGACACAGATTCTCAGTCACTAAAACAATCCCTTTTGCCCTTGAGGGGAAAATCCTTGCTGCTTTCCAGTGTGCCAGTTTACGTGTTTTTTACAACTGAATGAGGTGGAGTTACACAGTTTTCACACTGTTTGCCATTTCAGTCAAGCAATTCGAAACTTGGTCAGTCGTTATCAAACAGCACAGAATCTGATAGTGCCGCTTTGGGGTCCTCTCTCTACTGCTCGAGATGCACAAAACTAAACTTGTAAAAAGAAAAACTTGAAAGACAAAGCTCCACCACTGCCCTGTGCTGTCTGTGTCGTCTGGGTATCCTGAGAGTCCATAGACAGCTGCTAGACACATTTCTAGTTCCCCAGTTCCTAAAATTATTTAAATTCTATTTGCCCTAACCTCTTTAAGGCTAAGCTTTGAGTCATAAGTGTAATCAATGTGCAAGCAAAAGTGCCATTGACTTAGTGGTGTGTAACTGTGGGACAGTCCTTTCCGTTTAGCCTGACCTTGTAGAGACACAAATAGTTGGCAAATAGATGTGCGTGCTCTGAACACCTCCGTGTGTCTTTTTGTCCCAGCTTCCTGGACAAGATTGATATCATCAAGCAGGATGACTACGTGCCAACTGACCAGGTATGCAAAACTTCTCACAGTCAGAGGACTCAGCCCCCTTTCCAAGCTACTTCAGATTTTTGCTCTAGATTGGCAATAATTATTATTTTGATTGGTTTGTGTGAGAGCCATTGTCCTGAATTTTGTTTTAGGACCTGCTTCGCTGCCGTGTCCTGACCTCTGGAATCTTTGAGACCAAGTTCCAGGTGGACAAAGTCAACTTCCAGTAAGAGAATAAATAGTTCACTTCTTTATAAAATGGAGATAGTGGTTTCTTGATGCTCCCTCTGGCAGTTAGAGCGATGGCCCCTTTGATATAACCGCGTGTCCTTTCTCCCCGCCAGCATGTTCGACGTGGGTGGCCAGCGCGACGAACGCCGCAAGTGGATCCAGTGCTTCAACGGTACGCATGCGCACGGCCTCGCTGCTCTTGAAGCGCGTTTTGCTTTTGTAATCATTAAGCACCATTTTCGCTTCTAACACTCATTGCTTTTGCTTTCTTGTGGCTAGATGTGACTGCCATCATCTTTGTGGTGGCCAGCAGCAGCTACAACATGGTCATTCGAGAGGACAACCAGACCAACCGCCTGCAGGAGGCTCTGAACCTCTTCAAGAGCATCTGGAACAACAGGTTTGTGGAGTAAAAACTCACCCCTGCCCTGGTCTGTACTGGGCAGGCATTTGAATCCTACCTCCCTCCTTGCTAGATGGCTGCGCACCATCTCTGTGATTCTGTTCCTCAACAAGCAAGATCTGCTCGCTGAGAAAGTCCTTGCTGGGAAATCGAAGATTGAGGACTACTTTCCAGAGTTCGCTCGCTACACTACTCCTGAGGATGGTAAGTGTGGCTTCTGTTTTTTGCTGGCTGCCCATTTAGGTAGTTCTTTCTCAAAAGGCTGGGCTGAAAACCCCCGCCCCCTCCCCCACTGCCAAACTTATAAAGGATTTCAGAAGGGAAGCAAGAAAAACTTACTTCTACTCATTTTCACATAGTGAAATCAGAGTCCTAAGAAGTTAGGGGGCTACAATGATATTAGTACTCTAGATCTGCTCTAACCTTTAATTACCTTAAGTAATGAAATATTCCTATTTTTTTTTACAGCTACTCCTGAGCCTGGAGAGGACCCACGCGTGACCCGGGCCAAGTACTTCATTCGAGATGAGTTTCTGGTGAGTAGAGCCTGTTCTTTACTTCCCTCTCTTACTTCCCCCCTCCCTGCTTTCTCCTATGGATATAAACTTAATGCTAAATTTAGGGATGCAACTATCCAGTTCTTCACCGATATCCGGCGTCAATTTTAGCTGTGTGTGCCCTTTCACTGGGTTTTGTCTTAATATAACACTCCTAGCTGGGCAACAGTCATCATCCCTGGTAGATGTCCCCATTGGTGACAGGGTGGGTCCTACGAGGGCATCACTGACCAGTCCTGTGTTGTGTGCCCACAGAGAATCAGCACCGCCAGCGGGGACGGGCGCCACTACTGCTACCCTCACTTTACCTGCGCCGTGGACACCGAGAACATCCGCCGTGTCTTCAACGACTGCCGCGACATCATCCAGCGCATGCATCTCCGTCAGTATGAGCTGCTCTAAGAAGGGAACCCCCAAATTTAATTAAAGCCTTAAGCACAATTAATGAAAAGTAAAACATAATTGTACAAGCAGTTAATCACCCACCATAGGGCATGATTAACAAAGCAACCTTTCCTCTCCCCCAGTGATTCTGAAAAACCCCCATTTTCCTTCTGCTTGCTTAGATGTTCCAAATTTAGAAAGCTTAAGGCGGCCTACAGAAAAAGAAAAAAAAGGCCACAACAGTTCCCTCTCACTTTCAGTAAAAGATAAAAATAACAGCAGCAAACAGAAATAAACAAATAAATAAATGAAATAAATAAATGAAATAAATGAAATAAATATTGTGTTGTGCAGCATTAAAAAATCCAAATAAAAATTAAATGTGAGCAAAGAATGATGTGACTCTTGTGAATTATTTGCAGCTCAGAGCAAATAAGGTGGGAGGCCCCATGTTGAGGTACAAGCCTCAAGGTTAAAATCTCACCATTACATATTTTCTGGTGACCCAGTCTTTGGGTTTCTTAAAACAATTTGCAGAAAATATGAAAAGTCCACTTATCCTTCATCTAAACCTGTACCCCATAGTAAACCATTATGCTCTACCCTAGTCAATTCCACATTTTAATCATTGCTGCCCTATCCAAAGATTTTACCAACTTACACTGTTACCTCATCACGTGGTTTGCCTGTTTACCCAGTCTCCCCCCAAAAGGTGTATTTTTTACAACAAGATAAGGACTAAATTATGTGGTGGGAAAGTGGTGTTATTAAAGAAATGGTGTTGAAACCACTGGTTAGCCATTTGGGACAAATGGAAGCATTCCACATCAATCACACACATCTAAATAAAAGAGGTAGTTTTTAAAAAGTGACTTTTCACAATTAAAACCCTGGGTTTATAGACCTCTCTACAGCATGACAATAATACCTAAAGACCATAAAGAGAAGTCACTATACAAAAATGAAAATCACATAAAAAATGAATGGGGGAGGGGTTTGGGTTGGGTAAAATTCTAACAAAGGGTTGACTCATAAGCAAAGAGTTCTTAATAATCAATAAGCAAAACCAGAAAAATGGGCAGACTATATAAGCATGCAACTTACTAAAAAAATACAAATAGCTAATAAACATTTGGGAAAATGTGGAACATCACTCATAATGACATACAAATAAACTTTCACGATAAGGGGAGATGGGGGTGGGGGTGGGGGTTGGCACTCATGGACCCTGCATCAAACACAATGAGGCCAGACTTGCAGTGGGGCCTTGGATAGGGTCCACACAGGCTCCCTAGTCTTTCACCGCCAGGTTTATCCCGCCAGCTTGTGTCACCGATGGTGTTGGCTCCCCGAGAGGGTGGAAGGCAGGGACCTACGCTGCCCCCAGCATTACCCTCAACCTCAACTACTGTGCCCTCTAAAGTTGGCCAAATGGGACATCATGTTCAGTCTGTAATCCAGGCCCCAAATCCATTTTGTGTCCTATTTTCTAAATCGAGTTAATCCCAGCCAAAGAAGTCACCCAGCGTAGCCCACCAGGGGTGCACAATAAGCCCCAAGGAGGGCAGAAAAAAGCAGCAAATACCTCCACCTCCATAAACCTTTCCAAGATTTTCTACATAACATTCAGTCCACATAACTGTTTGCTATGCAAATTTTAGTACAAAAGCACCCCAAAAGCCCCCAAATAAACATATACTCCAAGTAAAAATCAACACTTACTTGTTACGCAAATATAGCCAGAAGACCAGCCCACGAGTTCTCATAATCCTCCAAAGCACCCCAAAAAGCCCACAACTGAAACCTGTGTGGAGGCTCTCAAGTGCAATCACAAGGCCCCAGTGTACCCCACGAACACTCACTCCTGCAAGGCTGTGCTGAGCGGAAATTCAATGTGGAAACCCAGCCCCTAGCCCCTCCTCCAAAATGGCCACCCGTAGGCCCCTCCTCCAGGATGGCCACCCGTAGGCCCCTCCTCCAGGGTGGCCACCCGTGGGCCCCTCCTCCAGGATGGCCACCCGTGGGCCCCTCCCCCAGATGACCACCCGTGGGCCCCTCCTCCAGGATGGCCACCCGTGGGCCCCTCCTCCAGATGACCACCCGTGGGCCCCTCCTCCAGGATGGTCACCCGTGGGCCCCTCCTCCAGGGTGGCCATCCGTGGGCCCCTCCTCCAGATGACCACCCGTAGGTCCCTCCTCCAGGGTGACCACCCGTAGGCCCCTCCTCCAGGATGGCCACCCATAGGCCCCTCCTCCAGGATGACCACCCGTAGGCCCCTCCTCTAGGATGGCCACCCGTAGGCCCCTCCTACATATAAATTCTGAAACCTTCTTTGCATAAGCCACATAAGATTATCACAGCTCTATTCACCTATCCATCAAAATTAGCAAGCACAAAATTCCCGGGCCATAGGGCAGTTATACCAAGGAAAATGATGCCCCGGAACCCCACCTTGCAGGTCAAAACTGACAGAGACTTCATGGTATCTTCCAGAAGGGCCAGAAACGTCACAGTTATCAGGCACCTACCATGTGACAGTCACCACCCAATGAGATAGGTTCGGCTGTTGCCACCATTTTACCAACGAGTAACAGAGGCCCAGAGAGGCCTCAGAGACTTGGCCAGTAAGCAGGGAAGACAGGCTTCAAACTCAGGTAGCCAAAGCCCACTGCTTGACCCCTACAAACTCAGGTAGCCAAAGCGCACTGCTTGACCACTACAAGATACTGTTGTCTTGAAAAATGCAGGAAAAAAGAGGGAAAGGTCTCCCGGTGTTCTTTCCATGACGCCAGTTGCCCATGACCTATGACCCCAAGAGGAAATCCTGCAGGGTACCATGGGATTTCACACCCGGGTGTGTGGGTGGGGCCGTCTTCCATCAGGGTGGCCTTGGGTGTACCCCTGCTCCCCGCCAGGTCAAGGCCTTGTCCCCACCAGGCACTCGGTTGCATTTGAGACTTGCTTTCCTGCCTTAGGACTCATCCCTTCCATTTAAAACATTTTTGTTTCCATTTTCCCTTTGATCCCGGTATCAAACCTAACTTTTATAGAGCTATTTTAAAACTAAACTTTAGGATCTTCAGAAAGAAAAAAAAAATTGTGAAGAATTTCATCTAAGCCTTTTATTACAAGAAGCCATTAAAAAATTTTAAGCTGAATTTTAAATCTATTCAAATGCAAAACATTATTTTTCTAAAGGTAACAATTTGTATCACACTTGAATATGTAAGCCCAATATAGATGACTATTCACTGACCTTTAGGAGATTGAAAATAATAACAAACCACTAGGCCCCTTCACAGTATAAGGAGGGCCTAGAATCGGGCAGAATTTTTGTCCACCTCCACTTTTATTTAATTGTGTGCAAAATTATACCAAAAGAAATGGCCATATCTGCATAGCCTTCTGCATACATCAATGACATTCTCTTATTATAATGGTTTCTTGGTTTTGGTCATCTTTGCGCTCAATAAATGTATAGAGAGCATGGACTCTATGCCAGTGGGAGCTCTGCTTTCATGGGGTTTATGTCCCAGCAGGGGAGACACACACTTACCAAATAAATAATTTAAAAAATTACAGATGGTGACAAAGTCTCCGAAACAATAAACAGAATGGAGGCAGTGGGGAATGGGAGATGTTAGAGGCAGGACTCCACTTTAGATAGAATAGCCTGGGAGGGCCTCTCTGAAGATGCGCATTTTCTTATGAGGATGTGAAGGATGAGAAGAAGGTAGCCGTACAAGTACCAATGGCTAACTTCAGTATTTTTTATTATTATTAATTATTAAAGCATAATATTAACATTTATGGGGCACTTTATCATGTGCCAGGCACTGTCCAATATGTTTATGTGAATTATCTCATTGAATCCTTTCAAAATCCTATTAGGATGTGCCCCATAAATAAGTCCCATCCCATTGTACAGATGTTAGTTCAGAAGTAAAAAAGGTAAAATTTTATCTAAAATTTGTGAAAAATTTATGCAAATTATGCTTTTAAGAAGGGCTACACTAGAAAGTTCATTGCAATAAGCATTTAACTTGAGTAATTGCTACCCAGGTTCCTATTTTAGAGCTGGGTAATTTTGTGTCTGTAGGATAATCTTCCTGCATGTAAACATTCATGTGCTGTGAACAGAGCTTTACCTATCTTATGTACTGTATTGGTTAGGAATGCATTCAGCTGCAAATAACAGAACCTTGACCCAGAGTGACACAGACATCTCACTTACCAAGAATTCTAGAGGTAGGTGGCTCCTGGTGTTATTTTCAGCAGCGCACCAATGGCAGGGCTGATGCCTTCATAATACTCCTGGCTTCTCTCTCATGGTTGTAAGGTGGTATCACATCATAGCTGAAGGCAGAAGAAAGAGGAAAGAGATAGCTCAGTCAAATCTCCTTTGTCAGTCTTTCTTCAGGGCCCTTCCATTCACTCTCACCATGTGAAATACACATAGATACCTGGAGAGCTAGATAAATAGCTAGACAGCTAGCTAGACAGATACACGATGAGTGTCTTTTCAATAACACTATTACACACACATACACACACACGCAGGGATTTATAATTTCCTGTTGCATGTACGTTGATGGAACATCTGAGAAAACATATCCAGTGCTTGTAGTTTTAAGGATTAGAGAAGATTGGGGGAGGGGGAACTTTTCAAATGATGATCGGGTAATTTGCATAATTCTATGTAAATAAATTTGAACACCTAGATAAAATAGATTATCTTCCAGAAAAATACTATTTATCAAATTTGACCCCTGTGGAGACATAAAAAATCTAAGCAGATCAGTTACCAGAGGAAAAAAATACAGAGCACAGTGAGAGAACTCCATAACCAAAAGGCTCTACACTCTTGTTGGAGTGGGAAACCAATGATGAGAAGAAGATATGATGGAGGTTTCTGGGTGCTAGTAAATTTCTGTTTCTTGATCTAAATGCTGATTAAACAAATATATTCCATTTGAGAAAATTCATTAAGCTGTACACTTAGGATTTCTCACTTTTCAGTAAATGCACTACATTTTCGATTTTTTTTTAAATGAAGAAAAGAAAAAAGGCACCAGACACTGGTGGTTTCACAGGGGAATTCTACTAAATCTTTAAAGGTTGGATAATCCCAGCCAGGCATGGTGGCTCTTGCCTGTAATCTCAGCACTTTGGGAGGCCAAGGAAGGAGAATCACTTGAGGCCAGGGGTTTGAGAATAGCTTGGAAAACATGGTGAGACGCCCCATCTCTACAAAAAATAAAGAAAATTAGCTGGGCCTGGTGGCATGCACCTTAGTCCCAGCTACTTGGGAGACTCGGGTGGGAGGATTGTTTGAGCCCAGGAGTTGGAGTTTGCAGTGAGCTATGATCATGCTACTGCACTCCACCTTGGGC